AACTTAAGAGCTACCCTGCAGAATAAATACGCCGGTGCAGCAAACGAAATTTTCAAGTAAAGATAAGCTTATACTGTTCCCTTTGTCGTCCAACACAAAACAAGATAAAGGATCTCGCCTTATACTAGGGATGCGCTTGAATTCATTGAAAGACCCTGTCGAAAATATAAAATAACAGGGTTGAACAGTGTCGATGACGACTCTGTGTACTCAGCTTGTACATCTTAAGGACAAGGTTTGCTATCTTGGTAATAAAGAAGTCCTCCATGAAGTCTCGTGCGGTGCTTGCAATGCAGTATATGGTGACCAAACTTGAGAAGCTGTCTTAGCACGCATCCGCTAATATCAACAGGCAGTGAAGAGGCGTGATCGTCTATTGCACGCAACCGTGCACAACCCTTGATACATGGAACAATTAGGCATGTGATAAAACTCGCATCTTCGAAGCTTGTCCCTCCAAAAAAAGTTCAAGAGTTTCTTGAGGCCACGTACTTCACCCATCAATCAGCAAACTGAGAATGATGCCATATACAGAAGGCGCATGAAAAATCGAATAACACTAAAACCAGGAAGGGCTGCCTCCTATTTAAGCCATCAGCAAATGGTAACCCATAGTTAAGGTAGGTTTGAAATGTTAACTGCATTCTGCCGAATTACCCAACTCTGATCTGGACCAGCAAAAAAAGCTCGAAAATGTGCCCAACAAGGTAGTCTATTTTTCCAAGGGACCTGTTTGCTTTTAAGCTGTAATGTAATAGTTTTAATTCATTATAATATCTTGTTGTTATTTTATGATAAACGCATGTGTCATTCAAGTGTGATTAATTGGTTTTAGTCTAGAACAGCATAAAAATATGGACCCTTGGTACCCAATTTACACTGAAATAATTACTCTGTGGAAGAAGGTCATTCCAATTTATCTGATTCTCGCTGATGAACACCTCAAAATATTTGAAAAGTTTTTGTTCTCATCTCAAAAAATCTGTTTAATTACCAAATACGATTTAATGACAGGGAGTGAAGTGAAAATCACCTCAATCCAATAGGAAACAAACTGGAGCTTGCATTTTGGTAGAATAGATTTTAGTGACAGAATATGTTTTATATAGCAATATGCAGAAGGATATTACCAGCAAAGACACAGGATACTAGGAAGGCCTCTTCTGCCTCACTAAGCGTCACCGGCAAGACCGTGAGTTCGTAGCCTAACTGTTAGGGGGTTTGCCCTGACGGGAGTGATCGTGAGTTCAAATCTCGGTGTGGCAGCAATTCCAGCGGCCACACTGGGGTTGGGTATCACTAGTTGATGACGCCTAATGAGACAGAAAAGGCCCTCCTAGTGTCCAATGTCTTTGCTAGTAAGGTCCTTCTGCCTATATCCTAGCCGCCTCGCGGTGGAGACTCGGGAGAGAGCTCCAATGGTAATATGAATGGCCGAGTGGGTCCTCCGACAGATCGGTGTACGCGTATATGCCACTGTATATTCCCTACTTAATACCAGCTAGACCGTGAGCTCGTAGCTAAACTGTTAGGAATTTCGCCCTGACGGGAGAGATCGCGAGTTTAAATCTCGGTGGGGCAGAAATTTCAGCGGCCGCATTGGGGTTGGGTATCATTAGCCAATGACGCCTAATGAGACAGAAAAGGCCTTTTTAGTGTCCAATGCCTTTGCTGGTAATATCTATCTGCCTATATCATAGCCGCCTTGCGGCGGAGGCTCGAGTGAGAGCCTTAATGGCAACATAGACGGACGAGTATCCTCTAAAAGATCAGTGTATGCATATATGCCACTATATAGTAATGTATATTCAATAGGGAATGTCCTAACACTGATCTAATTGACTTCCGAAGTAAATAAACATCACATGGCGTCTAAGGGTCCCGAAACATGTGATCATCTGTAAGGCAGATGCAGGCAGTTTTACTAGCAGAGGAGGATGACAACGTTGGATGTAACTTGATACATAATTGTCTCATGCTTATTTGCCTTCATTCAGCCAAGACTAACCCTGAACACCACATGGGCTGGACAAAACGAAATGACAGGCGGAGAAGCCTTGTTGATCTGCAGTTCGAAGAAGTGCTTATGACCTATCTGGTAGACCCCTTTGGTGGACCATCTGCGCCATCTGTGAGTGCGGTTGTTTGTTTTGCCGAACCCAGCTGATATTCAGGCTTATGCTTGGCTGAATAAAGGAAAAGTATGCCGAAAAAGTTATGCATCAACTAACCCTCTAACGCCGTCATCTCGCTCTGCTATGTATATATCGAAAATATGCAGAGTAAGTTTTCCTTTGTTTTGTCAGAGAAGATGGTATTATACATCTAATATACTGCAGGTATTTTCATCATCATGTTCGTTTGGGAATTAAAGATAAATCTCGAGCCACGGTAAAAAAAATACTCGACGTAACAGTTTTTTTTGTAAACCGCACTGAATAAGTATTTTGCGTTCAACAGCATTATAATATCTAATTTTGATTGACAATTTATAGTGTGCAGTTTTGATTTTTTTTCTCTCTTCACTGGAGGCATTTAGTTGACACTTAATAGACCATTTTTAGACAAATACAGGGAACGTACCGTTATGGCGATAAGAGCAGCTGCGAGATTACCAAGGCCAAGCCTATTGAATCCTGCAAACACTCCATCGTTTGCCCTGCCAGCATACACGGCAGCAATAATGAACGCGATGAAGACGAACAAGACCATCAAGCCCAGAGCAACTGCCTCCTAGAACAAGATATCACGCAGTGCGGGTGGTTAAGCAAGTTTACTCGACTGACTTCGCATTTTACCTTTTTTCGGTGCAGATAAATATTAACAAAATACACACATTTTAGAATGACCGCCATCATGCGTTCTCCAGTTTGACAACGTTTCCCGGATGACCGGTTGTATGGCAGAAATTTAGGGTTATGTATAATTTTAAATTAGAAATTAAACATGTAACCGCACATCACTCACGTGTATCTGTAAGGGGACTGTTATAAAAGAGAACATGAGTGGAAAATCTAATTATTTGTAGGCGTCTTGGAGACGTTTACTAGAATTTTGCTCTTAGTTGTTCCTCACCGCATCTTATATCTTACTCATTTATAGTTGATGGGTTTAAAAGAAATGTCTTTACTTTTCAATATAATTTACCGTTGCAATTATATACATATTAAGTTAGTTTGGCAGATTTAGTTAATTTAGTTGACCCAGTTGTGAAAAAACTCGCGGCATTCGGCTGCATTCGAACCCGCATAGGAAT